TAACTATGTATCCTACCATAGATTGTCAAAGGAAAATATGGCATTTGTGAACCAATTATCTGTTGTATCTATTCCTAACAGTGTGCAGGAAGCCTTGAAAGATCCCAGATGGAGGGAGGCAATGAATGAAGAAATGAAGGCCCTTCAAAATAACTCAACGTGGGAAGTTGTTGACTTGCCTGAAGGGAAGATACCTATTGGATGTAGGTGGGTCTTCACCATTAAATACAAAGCCGACGGAACTATGGAATGGTGCAAAGCAAGACTAGTCGCCAAGGGATACACTCAAACATATGGAATTGATTATATGGAGACATTCACACCAGTGGCCAAAATTAATACTGTTAGTATTCTATTATCTCTGGCGGTGAATCTTGATTGGCCTTTGCACCAGTTTGATGTAAAGAATGCATTTCTACACGGAAATCTCCTAGAAGAAGTGTATATGGAGTTGCCCCCTGGCTGTAATCTACAAATTGAAGGTAATAAACAAGTCTGTAGGTTGAGAAAATTCCTATATGATTTGAAACAGTCTTTTAGAGCATGGTTTGGAAGGTTCACAAGTTTTATGAAGTCTATTGGTTACAAGAAAAGTAAATCAGATAACACTCTATTCTTGAAGCATAATGAAGAACAAATCACAGCTCTTATTGTGTACGTTGATGATATGATAGTAACTGGAAATGATCTTGAAGAAAGGAAAACACTACAGGAGCATCTTGCCCATGAGTTTGAGATGAAGGACCTCGGTGAATTGAAGTATTTCCTTGGAATTGAAGTGTCAAGATCAAAGAAAGGTATTTTTCTGTCACAAAGAAAATATGTCTTAGACTTACTAAATGAAATTGGTATGATAGCATGTAGTCCAACTAGCACTTCTATGGAAGAAAATCTAAAACTGTGTGTGCATTCAAATCAAGTTCCTGCTAACAAAGAACGCTATCAAAGACTAGTTGGAAGATTGATGTATCTTGCACATACTCGGCCTGATTTAGCTTATGCGCTGAGTGTGGTTAGTCAATTCATGCACTCCCCAAGCGAAGAACATATGAATGCTGTCATCCATATCGTACGCTACTTGAAGTCATCTCCAAGAAAGGGAATTTTATTCACAAAAAGAGACAATTTGAACATTAACAACTATATAGATGCAGATTGGGCTGGGTCAATTCAAGATAGATGTTCTACGTCTGGCTATTTCACGTTTGTAGGAGGAAATTTGGTTACTTGGCAAAGTGAAAAACAAGAGGTAGTTGCGAGATCTAGTGCTGAACCTGAATACAGAGGAATGGCTAAGGCAATATGCAAATTATTGTGGATCAGAAATCTAATGCAAGATTTACATATTAATCAAGTCAGCCCTATGAAGATATATTGTGACAACAAGGCAGCATGTGATATTGCCCATAATCTTGTCCAACATGATCGAACCAAACATGTTGAGGTTGATAGGCATTTTATCAAAGAGAAACTAGAAGAAAAATTGATTGAAGTTCCTCATGTTTGATCTCAAGACCAGCTTCCTGATGTGCTAACCAAGGCAATGTCAAACCAAACATTTAATGACTGTCTCGACAAACTAGGCATGAGCGACATCTACACACCAACTTGAGGGGGAGTGTTGACAATCATGAGTAATTATCTCCAAGTTGGTTCTCCAATATTCTAGTCCCTAATTTGTCTCTACTACTAGCTGTATAGATAGACTAGAATTACTAGAATCCCTATAAATATGTGATTTTATCTTGATAGCTATAGTTTCCTTATAGTTAGTCAATCAGTCCTAAACTATAGGATCTAAAGCTTTGTACAATGACTATTTATGCCCAGGCAGTAATAGTAAAAGATTATTGGAGTATTCTCCTCACAAACTCCATATTTTTGACTATGTTTCTAAGCAATCAAACAGAAAATGGTTTATGTTATATTTATACGTTGGTAGATGGTATCATATATTGATTTCTAGAAAAAAAAAAAGCAAAAAAGATTGATTTCTAGGTTCTTGATATGGTTGAAATGTTTGAAGAGATGATAATGCAGTTTCAAGTTCATATCTATGTATGGTGGTTTTTGATTTGTTCAATCTTGAATTGGTTTTTGAGTTGTTGTTGATCACCCTGAAAAGTGTATTTGCTATTCTTGCAGATTTATGTTATGGGGTTTATTTATTAAGTTGATCAATTATTTCCTATTTTATATTTTCGACTGTTTTGTATAGATGTATGACCACTTCTTGAATCCAGTTTTTTACATTTGATTTGGCCCTTTGTTTGATAAATCAGAACGTGGTGTTGTTTTATGTTGTTGGAATTCTTGCGGTGTGAAGATGTTTATGTTGATTACTATTATGATTATAATAGTTGGTGAATGGTTGTATTAGGATATGAATTTTCTCAATTGTTTCTTATAATATCGACCGTTCATGGCATGGACGATAATTTTTTGTTTTATTCATACTAATTATTTGGTTAAGCCGAGAAAACTAACCATGACACCACCACATGTGGCATGTCATCAGTTGGTTGAATACAATCACAACAATGCAAATATTTGTTGAAATTTTTGAAATAATCCGAGTATGCTGTATTATGTTAACAATATAGTGCATTATACAGGACGAGGAGGAGGGCAAGCGAACAACGACAAAAGGTAGAGCTTCAAAAGCACCAAAGGACTTTCTCTTCAAGCGCTTCAGTAAAAAACAGTTAGAAAAAATTTCAACCACCCCTTCTAATTTATCATATCTTTAAGGATACCGCTTTTAACTTTTGAATCTTCAATAACACCCCTTCTAATTTAATTTAAACATTACTAACATCCCCTACCATTAAACTACCATTTCTAACAAAATCAATTCATCTAAAATACCAAAAATGCCCCTACATAACCTCAAGTAATTTTTCTACATAAAATTTTATTAAAATGCGAGTTGTTAAAATTTTATTAAAAATTCGAGCCTATTAAAATTTGTTTTTTACATATTAAAATTGAGCCGATTTGAACTCTACCTGAGTTGTTAGCACCGATTAAAATTCTCTTTTGAGTTGATTAAAATTTATATTTTTTTACTTATTAAAATTCGTGTCAATTAAGATTCGATTTATTAAAATTTAACTCAATTAAAATTTAAATATTTTTATATATTAAAATTAAGACTGATTAAAATTCAATGCGAAATGATTAAAATATGATTTGAGTCGATTAAAAATAATTTTTAATTGGCTCAAACAAAATTTTAATTGGCCCAAATTTTAATACATAAAAAAATAGAATTTTTAATTGGCAAAAATTTTAATATGTAAAAAAAATAAATTTTAATTAATTTGAATTGAATTTTAATCGGTTCGAATTTAATTACGTAAAAAAAAATTAAAAAATAGAAGGGGTCTCATTGAAATACACTTACCTAGAGGGGGTTTCATTGAAGATATGTTTATCGAAAGGAGTGTAGATGAAATTTGTTCTCAAATATATCACTGACAATTTAGTAAAATTGCATTCTACTTAATATTTTTAATCTGATAAGGGTATTATTGAAGATTCAAAAATTATAAAGGGTGTCTTTCAAGATATGATAAACTAGAAGAGGCGTGGTTGAAATTTTCCTAAAAAGTTAATGTCAACCTCGCAGTTTATTTAAAGCATTACATTCAACCATTTCATTATTTCTTTGATTCATTCATTGTCATAACACTTTTGCATCATATTCTCGGAACCCGTTGATCGCTTGCAACAATAATAAAAACAATAGGATCATTCTCTGATGATGAACAAAAATGAGTCATCGAGGAACTAAAACAAACAAATACTCTGAATTAAAAAACAATTGCAAGCACAATGTTTGCATTTGTAAATATGTCAAGTAACCAAATCATTACCTTCAGAACCAATACACAACCACTAATGTTGTGTTGATCATTTGTCTTATATTTTTTGCACCCTCTCAACCATGACATTAAATATCGACTTCGCCCAATTCTTCCCCCCCAAAAAAATGACATCCTTCACAAAATGGAAGAATGAGCTACTAATCGAGTTCTGCATTGTAGGCATAGTAGTCATCCAAGTACAAATACACACCAAAAGTTATGTGAATTCTCTTTTATTTCATCTAATTTATCTTTCAAATATTTCAATGGAATGTCCTTCATTCCAATGAACATGGAATTGCAAAGTCCATTTATTCTTTCAGAGGGGCCATCGATCTCTATAGCTATCTCTCTATATCTCTATGTATAACTCATTTACTACATGAGTAAAAAATGGATTGAATTTATTTTAGTCTAATCTAATTTAACCCGACCCATAACCAACCCAACCCACCCATTTGCCAACTCTACGTTAAATTAATGGTGTCAACCACTGGTACAGTTGACTCTAAAATGTATGGTAGTTACAACTGGAAGGCACGAAGGCACAAAACCTATATAATAGACAACTTGCCCACAAGTGGCCTCGGAAGAGCTCCTTTTTTCCAGGCTTACAGCTGAAAAAACCGTTGCAATGTTGTATCACGAGAGAGAGAGAAGAAATATTGGGGTCTCAGGATCCCAAGCCAGCTTCCAAACCATCGAGTACCTTCTGAACAGCAAGCTAGTGCCAAGCGTCCTGAATTTGAACAACCGAGTGGCAATAATCACAAACTATTTTAAAAGCACTTTGACCATGGCAACAAATTTAAATGATAGCCAAAATCCTCAAACCAGGTGAGGTCGGTGGTCATGCACTAACCCAAACCTGTAATATACATGCCATCGAAAATGCAGTATCAAGGACCAACGAATCAAAGATTCCAAACACATTTACAACTTTGGAATGTAAATTAGGCTCTACATATTCATGTGTGAACATTTTTATAGCACAGAAGCTAAACACACCCTTCATCTTTGGAGTCTGACAAGCTGGAAAAGATCTAGTTTACTCAAGTAAAGCTAGCTCTACACAGTTTGTTCATTTCCCATCTTTAGTCAAGTCAAGTACACTGGGGAGGAAGAGACTAATTAACCAGAGCCACTATGAGAAGATCCCTCTTGGTTGGCCAAGAAACGGACAACAACGGTAGTGATATTATCCGCACTGCCTCTCTGATATGCTTCCTGCATCAGCCTCTTTGCTGCCTTCTCTGGCTCTTCGATTTGTTTGATCATTGCGACCGCTTCCTAAGAAAAGGGTAAATATATAACAAAGTTTAAAAGTGGCAATCTGCCAGCGGACTTAAAATCTACAACCCATTCAAAGACTGGCAAACATTAAAAACCCAAAAACTAATCGTGAATTCCATTTTGCCCTCATGGTTTGCGACGTAGCATTTTACCTCCCTATGATTTGAAATTAGTCACATAACCCTCTTATGGTTTTGGAGCAATGTACAACTTCTATTACATCTGCCTAATTTTCCAAAAAATGTGACACAGAAGCCTAATTTGTGAGCTCCATGGACCAAACATGTTAACTGCCCAAAGTATGATTGCCAACGAGGACAGAACTGCCCTTACAACTTCTTTGAGAAGAAAAAAACGTACTCTATAACTTTATATTCTTCCTTTTAACATCGCCACTTCCCTCACCTCTCTGGTGAGGTTGGTGCAAGGTCATTTCAGTTCAGAGGCAAACTCGGTGGGACGCAGGGAGAGATAGTGAGACAATGAGGGTATTAAGGTTATTTTTACATCCTTTTGTAAAGGGAGCTTGTATTCCACATCAAAAAATTAAGGTCACCAAAGGTTAGTTTATATGCTTAATGGACCCCTCCACTCATTACCAATTGATTTTGAATTAGATGTTCTAACATAGAACTAGGCTAGACCTTGGATAGTGTTAAGAGATGTCTATGAGGGGTATTTATGTACTTTAAATCTTATTATTATAAATACTTGAGGCTAAGGAAGATAATCTAATTCTCTCATTAGCTCTCACTATAGTCATAAACATGTTCTTTTTCTCTCTACTTTCTTCTCCTCTCTTTCATAATTTAACTTGGTATCAGAGTTCGATTCGTATGTTAATTTTTTTTTCACCTTCTTGTTTTTCAATGATGTAAGTCTAATCTCTCTCTCACAATTTTTTCCCATTTTAAAAAATTAAAAAATACTAGCATGAATGACTAGGGTTCTTCTATTCTCATAAAAATTTTCAAATTTTTTAGAGTTCATTCAATGTATTTTTTCTTTTTCTTTTTCTTTTTTCCATTTTTCAAAAAAAAAAATTCCTCTTTTGTCCAAGTACTTGATTTTGGTTTGTTTGATGCAATCTAATGGCTGGAATAGTTCCCTTGGGGTCCAAAATCACCTTCTTTCTCTTACCCAATTATTGTTTTATCCATTTTAATGATTATTTAGCCAGATCTAAGGATTTTCTTGTTTTTTTTTTGTTAAAATAACAACTTTTTGACCCTTTTATCCCTTTTTCTGATCTGATTTAGTCCCCTCTTTCAGTTTTATTATGTGAATAACTTTTTCTTTGTACGAATTCCTTAGGCTTTATGAGTTTGTAGGTTTTGATATTTGGAGGAGCTCTTCTTGTTCAATGGACATGGGAAACAATAGAAAGACTTCCGGATGCAGTAAGATGAGTTGAGTCGTATTGGGACTTTTGGAGATAGCTTATCCCTTTAATTTAGTCCAGTTAAGTTGGATGGCACCAACTATCCAATTTGGTCACGATCTTGTAGATTAGCTATTACTGCACATGGCCTAATTGGTTATATCGTAGGAACTCTCTAGGATCCTACGACAGATGGACCAACACGGGGGCAATGGCAATCGGAGAATGCTCTTGTCATGACTTGGCTAATTAACTCAATGTAGCCATTTATTAGTTGCACCTTCTTATTGATGGACACGGCACAAAAAGATTTGGTCTACAGCTGCACAGACATACTAACAAAAGGGCAATGACGCACAAGTCTATGAACTAAGGAAAAAGATTCATGGGTTAGATCAGAAAGATAAATCAATTGCTAAGTATTATGCTAAATTGAATAGTTTGCGGCAAGAATTTGACTATTATCAAAGTTTTCAAGCTGTTTGTAATGCAGATGCAGCTACCTTTTCAACACATGATGGAAAGAAAGTAGATGTATGATTTCCTTGTTGGCCTTAACATAGAGTATGATCAGATTCAAGTTCAGGTCTTAGGTTGATCCCATTTTCCCATCTTGAGAGAGACCTATGTCTGTGTTCAGCAAGAGGAAAGTCGACGCAGTGCTATGGTAAGACTCCTAGTTAGGATCATTCTGCTTTACTTGCTACTCTTACTTCACGGGATGATAAAGCCAGTCAACCCAAGACTAGTGGAAAGAGTGGTGTTGGTGATCATGATATGTTGAAGTGTGATTACTATGAGAAAAAACATCATACTAGATAGCACTGTTGGAAGTTGCATGCTCTTCCTACTTGAGGCCGTGGAGCTGACCATGGCAGTATTGTGCAATCTCAATCTCACATTTCTAAGATTTCCTCAAGCCCTTCTATTGATACTAGTGCTCTCTCTCTGGATGAGATGTACACTCTCAGGCATCTGATAGTTAGACTTGACACTTTATCCACCATAGCTTCTCCCTTGGACCGACTTCCTCCAACTTTACTTACACAGGTAGTCCCAACACATGTTCTCAATGTCTCTTCTTCTCCTTAGATAATTGATTCTAAAGCTTTTGACCATATGAGAGTTTCTCTTATCAGTTTTATTCTTACTTTCCTTGTGCTGGTAAGGATAAAATAAAATTTGTTAATGGCTCTTTATCCTCTATTTTTGAAAAAGGTTTTGTACAATGCTCTCCCTCTATTTCCTTTTCATATGTTCTTCATGTTTCAAATTTCTCCACTAATTTACTTTCCGTCAGTAGTCTTTACTAATTCCCTAAATTGCTCTATCACATTTTTCCTATTTATTATATGTTTCAAGAACTAACGACGGAGAAAACGATTAGCAATAGTAAAGCACATTGTGACTTGTATTTATTAGATATTGTCTCTTCATCATCATTGTCGTTTGGTCAGCCTATACAAGTGGATACTGCATCTTTTATTCCTCTCTTGCTTCAATGGCACCGCCATTTAGGACATCTCTCTTTTGGTGTTCTGGAGAAACTTTTTCTACTTTAACTAAATCATGTCTTACAAATAGTTTTGTTTTGAGATGCCTGCAAGTTTGCAAAGCATAAACACTCATGTTATTGTTCAATTAATAAAAGAAGTGAATTTTATCTTATGCTTATTCATTTTGATGTGTGGGGTCCCTCTCGGGTTATTTCTCGTTCTAGTTATTGTTGATTGTTTACATTCATTGATTATTATTCTCGTGTCACTTAGGTATATTTACTTTGAACTAAGAGGTGACGTCTTTTCTTACTTTAAAGCTTTTCATAAGATGATGACTAACCGGTTTGATACCACTATTAAAACCCTTAAGAGTGATAATAGAATCTAAGTATACCTTGAAGAGCATGGTATACTTTTTCAAACGAGTTGTGTAAGCACTCTTAAACAGAATGCGGTTGTTGAGGGCAAAAATCGTCATCTTATTGAAAATGCCCGTGCTATGTTCACTATGAATGTTTCCACAACTTTTTAAGGGGATGATGTTCTTACTGCTGCATATCTTATTAATCACATACCCTCTAGTGTTCTTCAATTTAAGATTCCTCTTGAACTTCTTCTCAGGTCTCTCTCTTCTTTCTCTGTTTCTCCTAAGGTATTTGGGTGTGCTTGTTTTGTTCAGGTCTCTCCTCATTCTCAAGGAAAACTTGACCCTAAGGTTGTACGACATGTCTTTGTTGGATACTCTTCTACTCATAAGGGTTACTGATGTTATGATCCTCAGTCTTACAGGGAGTATGTTAGCATAGATGATCACATTTCTTGAAACTGAACCATACTTTGGTTTGTCTCAGTCCTCTCTTCTGGGGAGGATGGGTAATGAGGATGAGAGATTACTATATGATCTACGAGAGGAGCTTCAGTTTTTCTCCATTTGTTGAGAGAGACTATTTGTGGTGAAAGAGAGAAATACAAGTGTACTGAAGAAAAACATAATACTAATGGATGGTTGGATTGACCTTATCTTAAGACCTATTCTCGACATCCAACATAGCAAACCACCCATGTGCCACCAAGTCCATTGTCATCCCCAACTCCAGTTTCAAATTCTCCCGCAAAAGCTTCAAAAGATAAGTCTCATCTCCTGTTGTTAGAGAGATTATGATTCTTCTCTTCCTATTGCTCTTAAAAATGGTGTGAGATTTTGCACTCATTACCCCATTTCTAACTTTGTTTTTTATAACTCTTTGTCTTCTTCTTATCTTGCCTTTGTTTCGTCTCCGTCTTCTGTGTCTGTTACACAGGGTTAGAAGGAAGCACTTGCTGATCCTAAGTAGAAAGAAGCTATAGTAAAGTAAATGAAAGCTCTAAGCAAGAATGGGAATTAACTTTACTAGGAAGAGACTTATAGCCAGTAAATGGGTTTTTACTGTTAAATAAAAAGTAGATGGAGCAGTTGAAAAATATAAAGCAAGGCTAGTTGCCAAAGATTTTACTCAGACTTATGGCATTGATTACCAAGAGATCTTTGCCCCCGTTGCAAAGATAAATTCTATTCGCACCCTTCTTGTACTACTAATCTGGGTTGGTCCTTACAACAACTAGATGTGAAGAATGTATTATTTCATGCAGACTTAGAGGAAGAGGTTTATACGGACATTTCACCAAAATTTTCTTCTTATTCTACAGTTGAAAAGTTTGTAGCTAGAGGAAAGCACTTTATGGCTTGAAACAATCTCCTAGAACTTGGTTTAGGCGATTTCTCAAAGCAATGTTAAGGTTTGGATACAAACAAAGTAATGCATATCACACTATGTTTATAGTGTTATTCAACATAGTGGTGATAAGATTATTGTTCTTATTGTTTATGTGAATGATATAGTGGTTACGGTCAATAATATGAAGAAGATGTCTCACTTGCAATTAAGTCGGAAAAAGAGTTTTGAGATCAAAGATTTAGGTCCATTAAAGTACCTTTCAGGGATTAAGGTTACTAGATCCGATAAAGGCATCTATATATCTCAAAGGAAGTATGTTCTCGACCTACTGAGGAAGCTAGCATGCTGGAGTATAAACTTCAAGACAAACCAATTGAGGCTAATCATAAGCTAGGGAGTGACATGGGTGACCATGTGGATAAAGAAAGGTACCCACAACTAGTAGGAAGATTGATATATCTAGCTCATACTCGACCAGATATTACTTATGCAGTGGAAGTTGTTAGCTTAGCTAGTTTATGTGTGACCCTCATACAGTGCATCTAGATGTTGCTTACAGAATTTTAAGGTATCTTAAATCCGCTCCAAGAAAATGCATGTTGTTCTCTAAGACCATCTCTAATGGCTTTAGTCCAATGGTACTCTTTGCCTTGTGAAGGCTTTGTCTTCTTGAAGTCAAAGGTTCAAATCCTCCTTTCCCCTCCCCTCCCCTCGCATCCCAAAAAAATAAAAATAAAAACAAAAAATAAAAAAAAATAAAAATAGAAACCCAAATGTAAAAAACTTGATTTGGTATAAGACGTTTCCAATGGATAAATTTAATTTAAAGGAAGAGAAATCTAAATTTAAATGAGAAAAAACTCAAATTTAAATGAAGATAAAATATAACTGTTGGATCTTTAAAGGAGGGTGTAAGCTCACCATTAAAAATTTGAATATGAATTTGAGTCTCCCTTAATTTGAGTAAAAAAAGAAAAAAGTCTCCCTTTATTAGATATGGGTATGGGTCTAACATTGGAGAAGGTTTTTAGGAGTTTTTTACCCAAATTTAAATTTGGCTTTAAAAAAAGATAAGTGTTGGAGATGTTCTAACCATGGTCACTTGAGGTTGGCATTTAGTGATGCTGATTAGGCAGGCTCAGCTGATGATAGGAGATCTACCCCTAGATACTCTACCTTTATAGGAGGGAATTCTGATACATGGCGTAGTAAATCAGTCTGCGGTGGCTAGATCCGCTGAAGCAGAATATAGAGCTATAGCTCATAGCGTTTGTTAGCTTATGTGGCTTCAGGGTTTGATGCAAGATCTAAGAATTTCTGTTGATGGGCCTATAAAGTTGTATTGTGACAATAAGGATGCTATTGATATTGCACATAATCCAATTCAGCACAACTGAACCAAACATATTGAAATTGACAAACATTTCATCAAAGAAAAACTAAATAAGGGAGTTATCTGTATGTCATTGGTTAAATCAGGAGATCAATTGGCAAATGTTTTTATTAAAGGACTTAGTAGTAATGTTTTTCATCTAATTGTTTGTAAGTTGAGCATTAGAGATATCTATACTCCAACTTAAGGGAGAGTGTTAAGTGATGTCTATGAGGGGTCTTTATGTACTTGGAGTCTTATTAATATAAATACATGAGGCTAAGGAAGAGAACCTAATTCCCTCATTAGCTCTCACTATTGTCATAAACGTATTCTCTCTCTTTACTTTCTTTTCCTCTCTTTCATAATTTAACTAGCAGTCAATAGACCAATTCTCTTACCCATACTAATTTTCTGAATGCATGTGTGCCTGCATGTTTAATGGCCTCAAGTGTGAGCCCACCCCCACATGAGAGAGGGTGTAAATGGAGCTTGTATCCCACCTCTTAGCCAATTGGTTTTGGGTTGGACGCTCTAACAACCTTTAATGGCGTCAATTTTTGGGATGAATCAAAAATTACAAGAGGTTATGTAGCAATTTATTCAACAGAACCAGATCACTTACTCGATAAATAGTTAGCAGGAAAGACCAAAATTTAATCCAAATTGTCTATGAAGTCAAGTGAAAAGGAAATCTTGTTATACCAAGTCAACCCAAATTAATAAAGCCTTGTTTCAATCAGAAGGGTTGTACAAATTAAAATCAAGCAAACCTCATTTGTGACGACATCCCATAATCCATCACTTGCTAGGATAAGAAATTCAAGGGAGCTGTCAACCATTTCCTCCTGCAGGTTTCATAAAAATCGGGGCAATGAATAGGCTTCAAAAATTGAATACGAAATATTGAGGGTGCAGCCAAAAGGAAGATGAGGATGGCTCTCAAAAGGAACCCAAGCTTCCTTACTGCATTCTTTCTCCAAAAAGAACTAGCAATCAACTGCTAGAATGTAGTAAAAGCATTCATCCAAAATAATTGTTACATGCAATGCTATTCAAAAACAAAAGTCAATGCTATAGAAAACTCATCTTAAAATTTAAACTATAGAAAACTACACAATTCTATAATGCAAAGACGGATTAGTTACAAGTTAAAACTATTCTAAATATGTATGAGCTCAAAAGAAATTATTCTGAGTGAAAAATAGTGGATAACGAAATTTCAAAAAATAAAATTAGTAATAATGATCATAGTTATTAGTATCATACGATACACAATACGTATCGTACGATACATCGTGATACACCTGAAAACAATACGTATCGTGTCTCTGTATTGTTTTTGCACCGTATCGTACAATACACGATACGATACGTACAATATGTACGATACGTGACAATTCTATTTTTTATTTTTTATTTTTTTGTTTTTTGGGGTTAAAATGACATCGTTTTACCCTATGACTTATTTTTAAATCTCTAACTAGTAAAACAACGTTATTTCAGTTGTTATGGTTTAAAAAATAAAATAAAATCTGTTGTTAATGTTGTTTAATTAAAATTAAAATTCCGAATTAATATTAAGGTTGTTCAAACATTTAATGTTAAAAGTCTGAATTAAAGGTTTTTGCATTTTGATATTACTGAACTATGTTGAGAACTTGAATAGTTTGTGGAATATTAATGAAATGCTATGTTATTATGAGTCTGACTTTTTTACAAAGATATATATATAAATTTTATTAATAATTATTTAAAAATTAAAATTGTGTGTATCTTACAATACACGATACGATACACTATTTTTTAAAAATGATACGTCTTCCAATACGCGATTTGACAATTATGATGATGATGCATAAGTTATTTTTTTATGACAGATTTTGCTAATCATAGTAAGGTTCGACCAATTGTCACTGGCAGATTTGAGCTTTGAGGTTGACAGGTTGTAGAATAGTTCCAACATTGCAAAATTCACAACATAGAAGGTTGCATCCCTCCTTACAAAAGCTAAATCAAACCTGAATTTCTGGATCAGCAACAACATATTGCTTCAAAAGTCTATCCCCAAATGCACGAGAAACAGCAAGTACACCCCCAACTCTCCAAGTTCCTGTTGACAAATTTTAAGTTACCAAAAATGCCAGAAGCTGTCCAGATCACAAAATGCTACAGAATCAGAAGTGGATAAAGTTATGCCCGTAACCTGCCCACATTACAAAACCTCCGGCATCTTCAATACGTCGTCGTTCATCAGTTTGGTCTGGCTTGTGATCTCGAGAAACAGCAATGGCTGCAAGTAGTAAAAAAACATGCTTTTATCAGATTATGTATCAAAAACCAGTGAACATCATTGCAAGCAAATAATCCTTCAATAAAATATCCAATTTAGCAGCACAGACTCTATTCCATCCACTTTTGCTTTGTGTTTCTCAAGGAATACCAATAGTTACACACTCAACAAAAGCAACAAAAATATTTCAGGACCAGTAATCAAAAGCACAGCAGAATTCACTGTTGCAGGATTATACTCCAAGTCTCGTTTTTGTTTTGACTGAACAGGCATACACTTCAACTCGTCCCAATTTCCAAATGGAATACCATCATTTCAGGTGTTTATTGATAAGAAACCCAGATGGAGCTCTNACTTCAACTCGTCCCAATTTCCAAATGGAATACCATCATTTCAGGTGTTTATTGATAAGAAACCCAGATGGAGCTCTAAAACGTGTTAAGATCAAGGTCGAAACAAAACATAGTGAGTCTAGAGCCTGTGACAAGACCAAAGAATGACTGGAAATCTGAATTTCTGGAGCAAATAACAAAATGACTGCTTCTCCCACCTGTTAAAGCCATAGTTACGATGTGACAAGACTCTAGTGTGGTCCTAAAAACATAAGAGTCCATATGAATCTTGTTTAAGTGACTCATTTGACTAATATATTATTTTGATTAGCTTAAATAATCACATGAATAGCACAAAACACTGATTGTAATAAAACATAACAGCCTGGTAATCAGACAAGTGGGGCCCCTAAGCATTCGTAAGTACTTGGATGCTCCTGCATCACATGCCCAGTGCCATCTCACTCGCTGAATTTTTGGAACAGTGTATGTGAGAATAATACTTTGCCAAGGAATGTAGTCAGGTAACTAATTTGCCAAAAGTTGTGGTAGTTCCTGACATGCTACAAGTTAATCTCCATGCATAAGCTTAACATATAAGGAAAATTTTCAAGCTAACAAATGCTTGGGAAGCTAAAAATTTCTCCTCATCATCCTACCCTTCACAGGGGACCTTTAAAAGACAAAATTACAAGAACGTCCAAGAAACCAGAAACTATATTGTTGCCTCAGAACAGAAGGTTACCCTTCATCACATAAAAAATGCCGNAAAATTACAAGAACGTCCAAGAAACCAGAAACTATATTGTTGCCTCAGAACAGAAAGTTACCCTTCATCACATAAAAAATGCTGAATGGTATGATAAGCATAGGCCAGACCCTAAAATCACCATCCATGGGCTTAATATCAAAGATTCTACGCCCCCTAATCACCCAAATTCAAATCCTCAAATAGAAGAAAAGAAAGTGAAAATGCAATTAATAATGAGTTGTACAATCTAAGACAAGTGATTGCATGAATCATCAATGTTTTTAGCATTAATACAAGAAAATAGTAAATCTCTCTAAAAGGGTGGCCCCGTACACAAGGCTCCCGCCACTGTGGGAACTTACTGTTTGGTGGAATCAAGAAAAGTTTAGATATTTTCGTTTTAGAACAAGGTGCAATGTAGACAACCTTCCATACAAGCATGACAGACTAAGGCTGCACTAAAAAGAATCCAAATATTCTGAAGAAATTATAGGCATAGGACGATTGGCAGACAAGAACTATGACTGAAAGTACATAATCTTACATATCATTCAGATGTCAGACTCTTACCATTACCACCCCTGCAAATAACAGCTCTCGAATCCCCAACATTTGCAACCAGCAAGCGATCACCAACAAGGATAGCAGTAGAAGCAGTTGATCCAGCATCTCTGTTTTGAGTACTGTCTGATTTCAGAAATTCTGAGTCCGTGTGACTGTATGCATCAGCTGCAGTGAGGAGCAATATAGAAAAAATCATGAAGTTAGATGATTGTGAGAGTGGTGAAACATCAGAGGAAGCAACCATATCAGTAAAAGAACAGACAAACCTATAGCCGATTTTGTATCAGAAATAAACTTTGGATGCTTAATCAGATTACTGAAAAGGTTTTGTTTAACATATTCTGCAGCTCGAGCACCACCATGACCTAAAACAGCAATAGAGCACATAAATACAGCAACATGAGAGATATATGGCGAAGTCAGCTTTCATGTGAAATTTCTCTGATTTCAGATTCTGTGTGGATCACGACAATGGGAAAACAAGGCTAAGTATGCGAATAAAGCCACTTATGTTTCTATATAAAACTCGAACAGTACATCAAATGATTCATATGTTCAGAATCAGATGAACACTGCAACATAAATATTACAAAAGAAATTGCAAAATTTTGAAGAAAATTAAAAAGAAGCATGTATTATAATATTCGCCAAGCCATTGTCACACTCATCCACGAGTAATTAGACCAAATTTAACTATTTTATAGCACAAAGTGAAAAGAGCGTGTTTATGCGCACGCGCGTGTGTGCGCATATATATATATATATAGAGAGAGAGAGAGAGGGGGGGGGGAAAGAATAGCTTACCATCAAAGACACCAAAAAGACCAACTATCTCTCCATCAACACCATCAATTCTTGTCTCATAAAAATCCTCCATTGAAGACCTCTTCCCCGCAGAACTTGCATACCCATAGCTGAACTTTCCATTCTGACTGTTCCCAAGCGAAAAGTTACTCTTAAGACATAGATCCAATGAGTGCTTAACATAAAACAAGTTCTCACACCAATTGATATACAGTGTTCCTCTCGCTGACCTTATCAATTCATTTATTGCAAACTATGAACCGTGTATTCTACTCGATGTAGCCCATGCAAATAGTATCTCACATCATCAGATAGACAAATAAATAGATGAGAGAGGGTTGACTTAAAGTAACCCTCAAATATCTATTGTCTAAATGTAGTGACCAAAACACCACAAAAACAAGCAAACAAATAAATATAACTTCAACTGGGCTTTGAAAAGCCAATATTACCCAAACAATAAAAAAAACTCTCTCATATCACTTGGAGTGTCATTTCTAGTTTCTTTATCATCAACTGAAATTTATGAAAGAGGAGAAAAGAGCAATTGAAAGCTTTTCAATATATTTGTAAATTTTGTAGCTAATATCCACAAGTACAACATGTTGAGTACTACTCCTGGATCCTTGGAAAAAAATACTCACAAAATATGGACATAAAGATGAACTTTCTCTTAGTAGATTATAGCAAGTACAAATTTTTTTTAAAAATTTCAACACTCAAGTTATTCAAACTTGGCTTACATATAGTAGTAAACCTATAAGGAAAACTTCACGTAAAGGAGGATTATGCCAACTAAAGAAGGATTATGCCAAGTAAAGAAAGATTAGTTAGAATAGAGGTTTATAACGTATTTCCATATATGCGTATGATATCTACACCCATTCGTACATATGTATGTGGTATATAGCTCTTCTGATCTTATGAACCGTAAATGAGTAAGTCAAGAGAAGACTCAACGTCAACACGATAAACCTCCACTACATAACTAAAATCTTCTAACAATAGATTTAAATTTTATTAATGACTATATCCCATTTAGGGTTTAGTTAATTCAACACTACGGTTTTGGAAAGTTTTAATTTCCTATGTCAAAATTAAGTGTGTTAATCAAGTCAAGCTTCTCGAACTTATGTATGCTCAGATTCAGCCCAATTATAACTAACCAAGCTTGATCTCGAGCCAAGCTCGACTAACAATTCAAAATCTTACTCAAGCTTAGCTCAACAGAAACTTGTGAGCATTTGGTCCAAACTCAACCAAGAACTACAATTATTTAAAGGCTTCAAGCCAAGCTACATAGAGTTTGGATTCAGCTGATCTTCAAAATGAGTATAGAAATTTGATCAATTTTTTTTTCAATTTGAAAAAGGCTGAATGAGGTGAACCCCAAGCAAGCTCGAGCAACTCGGATTCTACAACAAGCCTAGACGGGGCCCAAGGCCACACATGAAAACCATGAGGGCTCTCAAATGAAAGCAAGAGATACCATTTTTAACAAGCCAAAATAACCCAACCTTCTCACTATGTCGGATTTACAAAGTCAATACTATGAACAACAAAAATAGAGAAATAAGAATTTTCTTGACACGAAATGCTATTATCTCTGAAACACGACTTAAGATTATGACAAGGTTTCTCATGTCATGTCGATTGCATAATTAATATATTTCCCTTTTATTGGCATTCCCAATTGCAAGTCACGACAATTGTCAATTTTCAAAGTTGTTTTTCCCACATGGTTTGCATAAAAATTTAGTTCTCTTATAGGGGAATCAATGCAAGCCCATCATGATAATACGTGAGTTAAGCAAGAATTTCTTGCACGACATGACAAAGTATGACTTTTGTAGAGACTTGTCCCTTTTGCACATATCTCTGTTGTAGGGACCTTCATGCATGTGCAACACGACAAAATGCAACTTAAAGTAACTTATGCATGCTCAACCCCACAATATGTGATTTACATATGAAGTTCTATCACACCCATACACCATCACTAGTTTTGTTTCCCATAATCACATTGACATGCACAAAAATTCGAAATGTGAACTACATACAAAAGAAGTTCTATCAAACCCATACAACCCACACAACATTTAAAACATGAATTGCATAAGTATTTCCATAATTTTGGATTATATAACTAATTTGATTACTTCCTAATGACATTGAAGCGTGACAACACCAACCAATGACTCCCATGCAAGGATTTCACATATTATCCAGATTGCTTAACCAATTAAACTTCCCACAAAAGTAACATTGACAAATAACGAATAATTTTTCACAGTGCAGATTACATAAATCATTCGATTATTTTAATCTCCTCACAAAGATATTGATGCACANTTGAAGCGTGACAACACCAACCAATGACTCCCATGCAAGGATTTCACATATTATCCAGATTGCTTAACCAATTAAACTTCCCACAAAAGTAACATTGACAAATAACGAATAATTTTTCACAGTGCAGATTACATAAATCATTCGATTATTTTAATCTCCTCACAAAGATATTGATGCACAATCAACACGATTAATTTTGGTTTAAACGCAGCTTCTTTTATGATAAAGATTGTGAAACACTCATAAATTGAATGCACTCGGTAATTACATTAATTAGAGAAAAAGCTGATGTAAAATTGACTGGGAAAGGGAATTGAGGTGACACATATTACAGTACTTCGATACTTTAAAAAGGAGTCTTTTAATGCTACCCACTCAAGATTTCTTCTTCTCTTGTTTAGTTTATTGCATAAATATAAGACCTTCATTCATTTTCCAAATCAGAATAATCAACCAGATACATTAGCTTCAAAGAAAAACCCTACAAGATCTTAGTTCCCAAAATTTAATAACTCAAAACCCACATAGCATCATTCATTATAATGACTACAAACTAACAAGATCATCAATCATCAGTACATACAAAGCAACAAAGTTTACCCAATACACATGCCCTTTAAGAATATCTACCACATGGATGTATATGTAACAACCAACACAAATACGAAATACAATAACTTCGAGATCTGCAACAGTAGAAAACAGAGTTAGAGATAGATAGTGATATATATATATATATAGAGAGAGAGAGAGAGAGAGAGATAAATATACCTAAGTCCACCACCGCTAACTGGCCCATCACCACCATGAACTTGGCTGGTGGATGATAATACCGAATTCAGATACCCCATAACTATTATTACTTGACTTGATCAAATGCTAATCCTTCTTCAATATGTATTTGTGTATGCGAATTGTTGATAATAAAAATTCTGATAACGACTATTGTTACAATATTTAGCCAGCTTCATTTCCAATTACGGAATATCAAATCCAACCTGTAAAAACACATTATTCAAATTCACACAACATTCAAATTCATTTTCGTAGAATAAATCACTTCAGTCAAAATAGACCGGATATTTAAATTCAATAGAACCATTCACACCAATTGATTCAGGCGACACATATGATTAGCATACATATGAATAGATATGCGTATATATAAACATACATATCGACAGAGGGAAAAAAGTACCCAAAAAGATGAAATGCCATGAAAACGGAGAAGGAAGCTTTAAGGGAAATAAACAGAGAAGACGACGACAAGAATGTTAGGAAGAGAGAGAGAGAGAGCGCGATTTTTATAGAGAGACAGGCAAGGAGGAAGGCAACGCCATGAGAGAAGCTTCTGTTTTGTTTTGGTTTGGTTCGAGTTTTGGTTGCAAGCGGACAAAGTGGAAATAAAATAGGGCAAATTTTTTTTTTTTTTGTCCTTTGCTGGGTAAAAAGAGTTGCGATGAGGGTACAGGCGTGAAAACCATGCTCGGTGTAACCATAGAGAGGGACATTGGCGGCAGAAATTTTTAGATGAGTTATACACACCACGTGGCTGGCTGACGTGGTGTGCACACCCAATCACAATTTACCAAGTGGACAGGCCGTCGGACACAAAACAACTCAGTATTTCCATTAACTCCCGTTAACCCATTGTTATCAAGTACAACTCCCAATAAATTGTTGCAGACAATTTCAGCTGTCATGGAGCAGAGTAAAAATTCAAAATTCACAATATCCCATTGACGTTTTTAGTTCAACCCGCAAACCCATCTTTCCCTCCTTTCATTATCCATCTCTTCTTCTTTCCCCCAAATTTTCTTTGCCCTAACTTCATTTAGGCGACCAGCAGCCACCACCACCACTGACAACGCCACCACCCCTAACCTCCTTTAGGCGCACCTCCAGCGACCACCACCACCGAAAGAAGAGGAACAACTCATCACCACCAGCGAGGACCACCACCCAGCGACCACCATCTGCTGCTCGTCCATCTGTGACAGTAGGTAAGTGTGCTCCCTTGCTATTTTATATGTTGTAATTTGTTGTTGTTATCTGTTAATCAGTTAAATTGATTTGTTGTAATTTGTTGTAATTGATCAGCTCCCTAATCAGTTAAATTGATTTGTTGTGGTCCTTTGGTAGTAACGAGAATGCTCTTGAGGCATTTTGAAGAATTAAAGTCATTAAGTGTAATTGTGGTTTTCTGTTCATTGTTGGTTTATTGTGAAATGTTGTTGCCTCTTGTAATTTTTGGCTTCAATTTATAAAATTTTTCTTCTGGTAAAAAAAAAAAAAAAAATTTACACTATCCTTCACTACAGGTGTTTGTTGACTAAGTTATCTGTGGAACAAGCTACTCCACATCTATAAAGATGCAAATACACCAACAGAGACATTAGTTCGAGAGGAAAGTATTTCGATTTAGATTTTCTTTTTTATGATTTTGAATCGGATGTGGTTAGAATTCAAAAGAAGTAGTGAGATGCAATTATCAGTTCTAGGAATGAAAGATACCTACCTTTATAATGAAAAAACGAATGACTTGTTCAAAAAAAAAAAAAACAGAGACATGACAGGAAAAAAGAGTGCTAACCAATATACCAGATCAGCGCCCCCAAAAAAAAACTAATACCAGATCAATNACCAGCGAGGACCACCACCCAGCGACCACCATCTGCTGCTCGTCCATCTGTGACAGCGACCACAATTTGTTGTTGTTATCTGTTAATCAGTTAAATTGATTTGTTGTAATCTTAGCTCATGAAATCGAAGTATCCAACAACTCTTTTAGATTAAACCCAAAAAAAAAAAAAAACAACACTTTCAGAAAAAAAAAAAATTTACTCTTGACAACGAAATTCTCCAACTCATTTTGTAGGAAAAAAAAAAAGTTCTCTTCGTCCACACCATTAAAGCTTTGAAGGTGTTCCAACTCAAAATTTCGGCAACCATGGATATACTTTCTTTTTGGAACTGGTACCATGAGTTATGGTGAAACTATAAAAACATAGAATAAAACACAACCACATATAGATCTAGGCATGAACTAGAGAGCTCCAACAGAAAGAAAGAAAGAAAAAATATTTAATGGACAAGAGCTGTAAAAATGGTGTACCGGCAGAGAAGAGAGAAACCAAAAAAAAAAAATGCTGAAATATTTTATTATGTTTGCTCACTTGTTTTATAGTGGTAATCCAAAATTTCAAAAATTAGGTCGGGTGATTGAAAATTTGAATCTTCTGTTGAGAAGAGAGAAAAAAGTGACAAAAGAGAGAGATAACGGCAGAAAAATTCCGTCTAAAAATTTGTTTAAATGGTTGACTTGAAAAGTTTTTGACAGTAACTGACACATTATTAAAGTGGCAATTTTTCATTGGAGTTGAGTACCAGCTGTGGCTGTGTGTGCCAGCTTGGTACCTTACAAGCACAGAATATTTTCTCCATACACCCCAGCATTTCAACAAAACCAGTACAGCAGCATAGCACATCTGCTGCTGCATAGCAGAAACTGCTTCCAAACCAACACAGAAAAACAACAAATCTGATTGGCACACTACCAGTTTGAACCCATAACCTCTTTTGAACTTTAACCACATCTAGGCCAAAATCAGAAGAAAGAAAATAAAAATCAAACTACTTCCATCTCAAACTAATGTCCCCGTTGGTGCATTTGTATCTCTATAGATGTGGAGTAGCTTGCTGCACAGTTAACTTACTCAACAGGCACCTGCAGTGAATGATATTGTAATTTTTATTTTTTTTTAAAAAAAAAATTTAATAGATTGAAGCCAAAAATTACAAGAAACAACAGCATTTCACAAAAAACTAACAATGAAAAGAAAACCACAATTACACTTAATGACTTTAATCCTTCAAAGATGCCTTAAGAGCATTATTGTTACTGCCAAAGGACCACTCCCTTCTGCCCAGAACTTTAGCAAAAGACTTAACCATATTCACACACCACCAGCAAAAGACTTAATCATATTCCAAACCGTAACATTGGAAGTATTTGCTGATCTTCCTTCAGCAACCTAGTAACGCTCCTAGGCATTCCAGTCTGAGTAAAATCAAAGGAAAATCGAGCCATCACAGCCTGATTCGCTAACCCATCAGCAACATAATTGGCTTCATGAAAGACATGACGGATTCTAAAATTCATCTATCCAAGTATCTCTCTTATCTGATGCAAAATAGCCAGATACTTCCAAGCACACTCCACTTGTTCAAGCACAGTGTTAACGAGAACCATGGAATCAGACTCCACCCAGATCTCATACTCCAGCAGGCTATACTGAACCACCATTTTCAATCCATCCAACAAAGCACAGAACTCAGCAGAGATAAAAGAGTGAAATAGAGATGGAGAAAATGGTTTGAGAGAAAGAGAGATTTAAAAGTTTTGAGCGTAATGGTACTGTAACACTGCTACAAATTTGACACCCTGGCTCAGCATGTTTCTTAGAGCTCGAAGCCGGTGACGGACGTTTCTAACGGGTGGAGAAAAAATTGTTAAAATGCTTATGTGTAACATATCTGACAACTGCTGATGTGTCCATTTTTTATTGGTTATACAAACCACATGGGCCAGCCACGTGGTGTGTATAACTCATCTAAAAATTTCTCCCTTGGCGGTGGGTTTCGTAGGCATTCCTCGAGGACAATTAGTCCTTGTTTTGATGAATTTTGAGAGGGGGTTTAAATTGATTTCTTCAAATTTTTTTAAATTTAAATTATTTTTATAAAAATGAGATTAAATATTTAATTTGTTTCATATTTATGTTTGGTATATAACACATATATATATAAAACTCATAAATATTTTATAATTACTAACAACTATTTGTCATGTAAATGATTATTTTATCTTGATCAATTCAATTCATACTCATGTTAAGGGATACAATAATCTTTTAAATCTTTAAACCCTTATCCATTTTTTCAAACTCACCCCCTCTCTAAGTTTAACAAAACTCGTGATCATTAGTTTTGAAACTTTGGGGTGAATTTTTCATACAAAAATAAAATTTGGAAGAGTTTTGAACTATTTTCTCTAAAATCATCTTACTAAGCCCCTCGTACCCTTTTACCAAATAGTCTTTTAGAGCAGTAATTTGATCTCAACTCCACCAAATTGTTAGAAAAAAGTCAACAGTTTATCTCTCACAAATTAAACTTGAGTACATTATAATATACATGTTTACGAGATGTTATCTCGTAACTAGACTAAATTATACTTTCACCTTCAAGTATATACCTATTTTACATTATTTATTTAATTGTCATGTTTCTCGTGTTAACATCTTCGCTTATAGTTAATGTTTTTACGTTGTCCTATTCCACATGTTGAAAGTGTATATTTTACAACACAAAAGAATATTTTTTGTTCAAAATATAGCAGACTTTTGGTTATGAGATAGTGCGAAACTAATTTTAATAGTTGAAGGGATAATGTGAAAAATTCAATCTATAATATAAAATGGGAGTAGATTTTATTAAGTTCATTTGACGATTTTAAATAAAGTCATCCAACGATCATCAACATCCCTTTCAAAATCATTCACATTAAATTTTACTTTCATTTCCTCACTCTTCACTCTCTCTATCTGGGATCTTCACTCATCATTTATCCAAATTAATTGACTGGTTTACGTTACACCGTACTTTTAGGCACGAGTTATTCATAGTAAAAAAATAAAATAAGATTAAAATTATAGCCGAAGAGATTAAAATGTAGCATTAGTGGTTATTATTTTATTTTTTTTGGTCATGGTTAAAATGTAGCTAGCCCACTAAAATAATTGCTAATTACTTACCCGTAAAAAATAATTTATATCTATAATAACAGAGCAAACTTCAATAAGTTCATTTGACGATCTTAAATAGACTTATCCAACAACTACTAACATCACTTTCAAAACTATTCACATTGAACTGTACTTTCAAGCACGATTTACTCCTGATTATAAATAAAGTATGATGACAACATGGGATTCCAACTTCTTAATCCTAAATTTTGTTACTTTCGATCAAATGTAATCAACACGCGTTAAATTTAACCTTACTTTATTCACTAAAATAGAACGCATACAATGATACAATCTAGCAACCTAATTCCTGTTATGTTTAGGTTGTGTAGTAGTACAATTGACCCAAATTGTACACAATTCATTTATATCCATGCATAATCTCGTTTATATTATGTCGAGTTCATCTTGTATATAGTCATATTTTTATCAGGTATTATGTGATTTGTGTCAACTCGTATTAAATCGTTAGGAATATTTCGTGTCTGATAGTACGGTACAATGTGGATGATTTTGAAATAAATGTTAGTAGACATTGGAGGTCGGATGAATTTATTGAAACATGTCATATTTTATATTATAGATTGAATAACACTATAAACACCAATTTTTTTTTATCAAATCTTAAATACCAAATGATG